CTCCAAATGAATTCTTTGGTCAGACCAATACTTATGTTTTCATGGAACAGTTTTGATAAATGTGGGAATAAAATTCAAATTTTGCAAGAAGAGAATGCTAAGAATATTTCTTGGTCACTCAGTTGTGTCTGACTCTTTGTGACTCCATGGACTGTAGCCTGCCAGGCTCCTCTGTTCATGGAATTCTCCAGGCAAGAATACCAGAGTGAGTTGTCATTTCTTTCCCCAGCTAAGAATATTATGGTTATGTATATCTACATATTTTGTTGTTGTTCAGTTACCAAGTCATGTCCAACTCTTTGCGAAAACTCCATGATCTACAGCACACCAGTCTTTTCTGTCCTTAACTATCTCCTGGAGTTTGCTAAAACTCATGTCCATTGAGTTGGTGATGACATACAACCATCTCATCCTCTCCTGCTGCCCTCAATCATTCCCAAGGTAGTCTACATATAAATTAAGGTAAAAATTCATATAATCAAGAATATGCCATTACAAATCACTTGCCTAAAATTTTTCATATTGATCTGAACACTTACTTTTAGACTTTAAACTATTTTTCTAAATTGCTCATGTAACAGTCTTATTTGTTAGATAAACTAACATCATTCCATTAACTTTTCTAACTAAAAAGATAAAATGTGATATATACACACTCTAATGCAAGAAAAAGTTTGTTGCAGTAGAGCCCTAGTACAAAGTCTGGAATATCTGAAGTACTCAATTACTCAATAAGTAGTTTCTTCTTCTGTTTATTTATATTAATCATGACAGAAAAAATTTAGTCGGCTTAATTCTCACACTAGGACTATACTTAGTGCCACATAACACATTTTTCTTCTAAAGATCACTTGGTATTAAAATAACATCTACTAGGACTGATGCTGAAGCTGAAGCTCCAATACTTGGTTCACCTGATGGGAAAAACTAACTCATTGGAAAAGACCCTGATGCTGGGAAAGATTGAAAGTGGGAGGAGAACGGGATGACAAGGTAAGTTACCAGCTTACCTCCCTACCTCCAATCCCTTTTGCTTAATTAGCCTACCGACAGAAACACTTAAAATAATTTATATCATATTTTTCTCAGGATGAGATGGTTGGATGGCATTACTGACTTAATGGACATAAGTTTGAGCAAGCTCCAGGAGCTGGTGATGGACAGGGAAGCCTGGCATGCTGCAGGCCTTGGGGTTGCAAAGAGTTGGATATGACTGAGCAACTGAACTGAACTGAGGACTTTCCTGGTGATCCAGTGGCTAAGATTCTGAAATCCCAATTCCGGAGGTCTGAGTTTGATACCTAGTTGAGGAGCTAGATCCCACCTGTTACAACTAAGACTTTGCATTCTGCAACTAAAGATCCTGTTTGGTACAGTGAAGACTCAAGATCCCATATGCCACAACTAAGACCTGGTGCAACCAAGTAAATTTTTTTTTTAAAATATCTGTCAATCATGAGGTATATTAAGATTTATTTTAACTAACAAATTTCTATTGGACATATTCACATTATTCAGTGCCAGGTTTTAAGAAATATAATCATTCTTATTTTCTTTTGGAATCCTTTCATAACACTAAAACAAATAAATGCAGCCACAGCACTATTAAAGGAATAAATGGACATGTAAGTTAACACTAGTTATCTTCATTGGGAAAACATCCTTTGTCTTCTTTTCTGTTTACATCTATTTCCATGTTTCTTTCAAGTTCTGTACTTTCATCTCAAGAGTTTCATAGACTTTGAACCAGTTAGCAGTTGGTCATTCTTGTTGATGGCTTCATAGCTTTCTTCTCTCCTCTAGTTTTAATCATATGCCCATTCATGAGGAAAAAAACATTTTAGACAATTTCAGAATCCAGATTTACATTCTGACAATGGATGCTCTCCCCATTACCACCATCCTAAATTTAGACCATGTCCTCACACTTAAGTTGCTGACAATACAAGTTAACAGGTTACCTTCCTACCTCCAATCCCCATTGCTTAATTACCCTACTGACAGAAGTGCTTAAAAATAATTTCTATCATATTTTCCTCAGTGATCAATGCAAAGAAATAGAGGAAAACAAAAGAATAGGAAAGACTAGAGTTCTCTTCAAGAAAATTAGAGATGCCAAGGGAATATTTCATGCAAAGATGGGCACAATAAAGGACATGGACCTAACAGAAGCAGAATATATTAGGAAAAGGTGGCAAGAATACACAGAAGAACTATACAAAATAGGTCTTAATGACCCAGATAACCATGATGGTATGATCATTCACCTAGAGCCAGATATCCTGGAATGTGAAGTCAAGCGAGCCTTAGGAAGCATCACTAAGAACAAAGCTAGTGATAGAATTCCAGCTGAATTATTTCAAATCCTAAAAGATGAAGCTGTGAAACTGCTGCACTCAATATGCCAGCAAATTTGGAAAACTCAGCAGTGTCAAAAGGACTGGAAAAATGTCAGTTTTCATTCCAATCCTAAAGAAAAAGAATTCCACAGTATGCTCAAACTACTCACAATTGCACTCATCTCACAGGCTAGTAAAGTAATGCTCAAAATTCTCCAATCCAAGATCAACAGTACATGAAGCATGAACTTCCAGATGTTCAAGATGGATTTAGAAAAGGCAGAGGAACCAGAGATCAAATTTCCAGCATCGGTTGGGTCATGGAAAAAGCAGCAGAGTTTGAGAAAAACACCTATGTCTGCTTTATCGACTACTCCAAAGCAAAGTGTTTGACTGTGTGGATCACAACAAACTGGAAAATACTTAAAGAGAAGTGAATACCAGACCACCTGACCTGCCTCCTGAGAAATCTGTATGCAGGTCAAGAAGAAACAGTTAAAACTGGACATGGACATGAAACAACAGACTGCTTCCAAATTGGGAAAGGAGTACGTCAAGGCTGTATATTGTCACCCTGCTTATTTAACTTATATACAGAGTATATCATATGAAGTGCCAGGCTGGATGAAGCACAAGCTGGAATCAAGATTGCTGGGAGAAATATCAATAACCTCAGATACACAGTTGTCACTACCCTTATGGCAGAAAGCAAAGAAAAGCTAAAGAGCCTCTTGATGAAAGAGCCTCTTGATGAAAGAGGAGAATGAAAATGTTGGCTTAAAACTCAACACTCAAGAAACTAAGATCATGATCAGGTCCCATCACTTTATAGCAAATTGATGGGGACACAATGGAAACAGTGACAGACTTTATATCTTGGGGCACCAAAATCACTGCAAACAGTGGCTGCAGCCGTGAAATTAAAAGAAGCTTGCTCCTTGGAAGAAATATATGACCAATTTAGACAGCATATGATAAAGCAGGGACATTACTTTGCTGAAAAAGGTCCATATAGTCAAAGCTATTGTTTTTCCAGTAGTCATTTGTGGATGTGAGAGTTGGACTATAAAGAAATCTGAGCACCAAAGAACTGATGCTTTTGAACTGTGTTGTTGGAGAAGTCACTTGAGAGTCCTTTGGACTGCAAGGAGATCAAACCAGTCAATCCTAAAGGAAATCAACCCTGAATATTCATTGGAAGGACTGATGCTGAAGCTGAAACTCTAATACTTTGACCACCTGATGCGAAGAACTGACTCATTGGAAAATACTCTGATGCTCGGAAATATTGAAGGCAGGGGAGAAGGGGATGAGAGAGGATGAGACCGTTGGATGGCATCACCAACTTGATGGGCATGAGTTTGAGTAAACTCTGGGAGTTGGTGACTCACAGGGCAGCCTGGCATGCTGCAGTCCACAGGGTCACAGAGTTAGACATGACTGAGTAACTGACCTGACTAAACTGATCATATTTTCACTCCCAGCTTAAAAACTTAAATGATCTCTCATTTCTATTAAATTAAACCCTCCAGTTTGACTTTCAAGGCTTAATACTAGCTCATCTTAAAATAGCATTGATATAACTACTTGTTACAACTCAGTGGAAGAAATTCCAAGTACATTTATCTGATAATTAAACTTGGCTCACCCTCCCCCTTTTAAAAAATATTTTTGATCCTTCCCCTTTGTCCCTGATTCAGGTTAGGTACACCTCCCCTTCCAGATGTCTCCAGCAAATTCTTTGTTGTCCCAATTTCCTTATCAGTCCATATCCCCCCTTAGAATATGTCTCATTTGGGCAGAAACATCTTCAATTCATCATTATAGCTCAAATGTCTACTAAAGTATTGCTATGTCAGAAATGCTGAAAAATGACTGTTGAATAAATGACATTTAGAGTATTAGGTATTGTGTTTCTGGTGCCAAAAATGTACTGATGTCTCACTTCTAGGTAAAATGCTGCCTTTCTCTCCTTCTCTTTATATTTCTTCGCACTTCTAGTGTAGCTTCAGGTGCTCATCAGAAAAAGGAAGATATGTGACTTGGAGTTCTCAACATGAATCAAAATAATTTGTTTCTAAAGCAATACTGTTTCTCCTTAAAGAGTCTCAAAGGCCAATGAATCAAATGAGACAAATAGGCAGTATATGCAGAATCCTGATGTAAGACTTTATCACTCGGTTCAACCCTAGAAACATGCACCAAACCCCAAGATGTTATTCTTTGGGACAGCTTTACTCTCTGTGTATAGAGCTTCAGCTATTTCCCTTTGGTGATATAATGAAATTTCTTCTCCTGTTCCCCACACTTACCACTGTCTCCTGGCCAATTTGTTCTCAAAACCAATGCCTGAGGACACCCTAAAATAGAAGGGTACATTTAAAATAGAAAACGTACTCAATTGGAATCTATTCTACATTTCCTCATTTTAGAATTTACTGTGACCCACAGGCATATGCAGCACTGTTACCATAATTCAACACATTGTTTCATGTGACAAATTTCCCCAAAAGCCTTTCTTAAACACATACTTCTTGTTTGGGTCCAGGTAATTTCCTCAAAAGGCAATAATTTTCACCATAGAAAAGATTGGACCCTCCATTAGTTGGAGTTGGGGACCTTCACCATAAAGCAGTCATTCACGTATTTTGACTCTTCCTTTTACTGCTTTTGAACCGTGTTGTTGGAGAAGACTTTGAGAGTCTCTTGGACTGCAAGGAGATCCAACCAGTCAATCCTAAAGGAAGTCATCCCTGAACATTCATTGGAAGGACTGATGCTGAAGCTGAAACTCCAATACTTTGGCCAACTGATGTAAAGAACTGACTCATTAGAAAAGACACTGATGCTGGGAAAGATTGAAGAAAGGAGGAGAAGGGGTGACAGAGGATGAGGTGGTTGTATGGCATCACTGACTTGATGGACATGAGTTTGAGTAAGCTCCAGGAGATGGTGATGGACAGGGAAGTCTGGCGTGCTGCAGTCCATGGGGTCACATAGAGTCGGACATGAATAAGTGACTGATGACTGAACTAAACTTTACTCTTTAAATTAACTTTGGTTTAAGGATGATCTATATTTACCATACAGTATATACTGTAGAATTTGAAAATAAATGTGTTTAAAATATGCACAAGTGTACATTTCTTTCTACTAATTAGATTTCTTGCCAGCTCAATAGAATGCTTAACAACTAATTTAAGAAGCAAGATTAAGAAAGTAGAAATAGCTGAATTTTTCAGTTGCCATCTCATTTTATAGACCATTATTTCACAGGAGAAATATCAATAACCTCAGATATGCAGATGACACTACCCTTATGGCAGAAAGTGAAGAGGAACTAAAAAGCATCTTGATGAAAGTGAAAGAGGAGAGTGAAAAAGTTGGCTTAAAGCTCAATATTTAGAAAACTAAGATCATAGCATCTGGTCCCATCACTTCATGGGAAATAGATGGGGAGACAGTGGAAACAGTGTCAGACTTTATTTTTTTGGGCTCCAAAATCACAGAAGATGGTGATTGCAGCCATGAAATTAAAAAACGCTTGCTGCTTGGAAGAAAAGTTATGATCAACCTAGATAGCATATTAAAAAGCAAAGACATTACTTTGCCAACAAAGGTCCATCTAGTCAAGGCTATGGTTTTTCCAGTGGTCATGTATGGATGTGAGAGGTGGACTGTGAGGAAAGCTGAGTGCGGAAGATTTGATGCATTTGAACTGTGGTGTTGGAGAAGACTCTTGAGAGTCCCCTGGACTGCAAGGAGATCCAACCTGTCCATCCTAAAGGAGATCAGTCCTGGGTGTTCATTGGAAGGACTAATGTTGAAGGTGAAACTCCAATACTTTGGCCACCTGATGTGAACAGTTGACTCATTGGAAAAGACCCTGATGCTGGGAGGGATTGGGGAAGGAGGAGAAGGGGACGACAGAGGATGAGATGGCTGGATGGCATCACTGACTCAATGGACATCAGTTTGAGTAAACTCCGAGAGTTGGTGATGGACAGGGAGGCCTGGCATGCTGGGATTCAGCAAAGAATCGGACATGACTGAGAGACTGAACTGAACTGAACTGAACTGATATCACTAAAAAGTTTTGCTATCCCTCTGAGTTGATTTAAGTTATTTTTTAAAATCCTGCTGAAAGTTTTTAAATGAGTATTGACCCACAAACTGTAGATGAAAATACTACTTGAGAAAAATCATATGCTTTAGTGATATGGAACCATTACAAGCCTGTATTTGACAAAGCAAGATCTGTAAAAATATATTTCTATTGACTGTGATTAAAAATATCCCCTTCATGGATCACAGCCTTGTCAGGTAAATGGATTTGCATAACTCAGTGAAGTTATGAGACAGGCAATGCAGGAGCACCCAAGACTGGTTTGTCATAATGGAGAGTTCTGACCAGCCATGGTCCACTAGAAATGCTGTGCTCAGTCACTTCAGTCATGTCTAGCTATTGGTGACCCTAAGGACTGTTGCCCACCAGGCTCCTCTGTCCAAGGGTTTCTCCAGGAAAGAGCTAAAGGGGTCGCTGTGCCCTCCTCCAGGGGCATCTTCCCAAATCAGGAATCAAATTTGCATGTCTTCCATTTCCCACATTGGCAGGCCAATTTTTACCACTAGCGCCACCCGGGAAACCCGGTTTACTAGAGGAAGGAATGGCAATCCACTCCAGTATTCTTTCCACCAAGCCCCCATGAACAATGTAAAAGGCAAAAGACATTACACCAGAAGGTGAGCGCCCCCCACCCAGGGGGCCAAAAGGAGTCCTATAGATGTTACTGGGGAAGAGCAGAGAGCAATTACTAATAGCTCCATAAAGAATTAAGAGACTTGGCCAAAATGGAAGCAATACTCTGTTGTGGATGTATCTGGTGGTGAAAGTCTGATGCTATAAAGAACATCTTTGCCTAGGAACCTGAAATGTTAAGTCTATGAATCAAGGTATACTGGACATGGTCAAGTAGGACATGACAAGAGTGAACATCAACATCTTAGGAATCAGTGAACTAAAATGGATAGAAATGGGTGAATTTAATTCAGATGACTACTACTACTACTGTGGGCAAGAATCCTTTAGAAGTGGAATAGCCTTCATAGTCAACAAAAGAGTCTGAAATGCAACATTTGTGTGTGGTCTCAAAAATGACAGAATGATCTCACTTCATATACAAGATAAGCCATTCAACACCCAGTAAGTCTATGCCCCAACTACCAGTGTTGAAGAAGTTGAAGTTGAATGGTTCTAAGAAGATCTACAATACCTTCTTGAACTAACACCAAAAAAAGATCATAGGGATTGGAATGCAAAAGTGGGAAGTCAAGAGATACCTGGAGTAACAGGTAAGTTTGTCCTTGTAGTACAAAATAAAACAGGTCAAAAGCTAACAGAGTTTAATCAAGAAACATGCTGGTCATAACAAACACTCTCTTCCAACAACACAAGAGAAAACTCCATACATGGACATCACCAGATGGATACTACTGAAGTCAGAATGATTGTATTCATTGCAGCCAAAGATGGAGAAGTCCTATACAGTCAGCAAAAACAAGACTGGGAGCTGACTGTGGCTCAGATCATGAGCTCCTTTTTGCAAAATTCAGGCATACATTGAAGAAAGTAGGGAAAGCCACTAGACCACTCAGGTATGACCTAAATCAAATCCCTTAGGATTATGCAGTGGAGGTGACCAACAGATTCAAGGGATTAGATCTGGTAAACAGAGTGCATGAAGAACTGTGGACAGAGGGTTGTAACATTGTTGGCAACACCACAGGAAGTGGTGACCAAAGCTGTCCCCAAGAAAAAGAAATGCTTCCTGCAAAGGCAAAAAGATTGTCTAAGGAGGCTTCTATTGTGGCTCAGCTGGTAAAGAATCTGCCTGCAATATGGGAGTCCTGGGTTTGATCCCTGGGTTGGGAAGATCCCATGGAGAAGGGAAAGGCTACCCACTCCAGTATTCTGGCCTAGAGAATTCCATGGACTGTATAGTCCATGGGGTCGCAAAGAGTCGGACGTGACTGAGTGACTTCCACTTCCACAAGGAGGCTTTACAAATAGCTGATTAAAGAAGAAAGGAGTTACAGAGAATAGCAAAAAGAGATGAGAAGGCCTTCTTAAGTGAACAATGCAAAGAAATAGAGGAAAACAATAGAATGGGAAAGACTGGAGATCTCTTCAAGGAATTGGAGATACCAAGAGAACATAACATTGAAAAATGGGCACAATAAAGGACAGAAATAGTATGGTTCTCACAGAAGCATAAGGCATTAAATAGAGGTGTAAGAATACACAGAACTATACAAAAATGGTCTTAATGACCTGGATGATGTGGTCATTCACCTAGAGTCAGACATCCTGAAATGTGAAGTCAAGTGGACCTTAAGAAGAATTACTGCGAACAAAGCTAGTGGAAATGATGGAATTCCAGCTGAGATATTTAGAATCCTAAAAGATGATACTGTTAAAGTGCTGCACTCACTACTGCCAACAAGTTTGGAAAACTCAGCAGTGCCCACAGGACTGGAAAAGATCAGTTTTCATTCCAATCCCAAAGAAGTGCAATGCCAAAGAATGTTCAAACTACTGTACAACTGCACTCATTTCAGTGTTAGCAAGGCAATGCTCAGAATCCTTCAAGTTAGGCAGTACCTGAACCAAAAACTAACAGGTGCACAGAACTGAATTTAGAAAAGGCAGAGGCACCAGAGATCAAATTGCCAACATTCGTTGGATCATAGAGAACGCAAGGGAATTCCGGATAAACATCTATTTCTGATTCATTGACTATGCTAGAACATTTGACTGTTTCAATCACAACATACTGTGATTGAAGAGGTGGGAGAAGCAGGCCACCTTACCTGTCTCCCAAGAAACATGTATACAGGTCAGGAAGCAACAGTTAGAACGGAACGTGGAACAATAGTCTAGTTCAGTATTGGGGATGGAGTATGACAAGGCTGTATATTGTCACCATGCTTATTTAATTTCTATGCCAAGTACTTCATGTGAAATGCCAGGCTGGATGAATCACAAGCTGGAATCAAAATTGCCAGGAAGAAATATCAACAACCCAGATAAGCAGATGATACCACTCCAATTCAGAAAGTGAAGAGGAATTCTTGATGATGAAAGATGGTGAAAGATAAGAGTGAAAAGGCTGGCTTAAAAATTAACATTCAAAAAGCTAAGATCATGGCAAATAGTAACATCACTTCATGGCGAATAGATGGGGAAAAAGTGGAAGCAGTGACAAACTTTATTTTCTTGGACTCCAAAATCACTGCAGATGGTGACTGCAGCCATGAAATTAAAGGACGTTTGCTCTTTGGAAGGAAAGCTATGACAATCCCAGACTGTGTTAAAAAGAAGAGATATACCTTTACTGACAAATACCTATATAGTTAAAGCTATGGTTTTTCCAGTAGTCCTGTATGGATGTGATAGTTAGACCATAAAGAAAGCTGAGCACCAAACAATTGATGCTTTTCAATTGTAGTGCTGGAGAAGACTCTTGAGAGTCCTTTGGGCGGTGAGGAGGTCAAACTAGTCAATCCTAAAGGAAGTCATCCTTGAATATGTACCACAAGGAGTGATACTGAAACTGAAGCTCAAATACTTTGGCCACCTGATACAAAGAGTTGACTCACTGGAAAAGATTCTGACGTGGGAAAAATTGAAGGTAACAGGAGAAGGGGATGGCAGTAGATGAGATTGTTAGAAAGCATCATCAACTCGATGGACATGAATTTGGGCAAACTATGAGAGACAGTGAAGGACAGGGAAGACTGGTATGCTGCAGTCCATGGGTCACAGAGTCAGACGTGACTTAGTGACTGAACAACAATAGCAAAAAATAATAGGGAATTTTATATGAAGTTTGGTAATTTATTAAATAACATGTAATGCTTTTCAGTGAAGTTAATTTTCACTATTCCTTTTATCTTGCTTTTTATATATATCTTTATTCATAGATTTT